TACTAACAGATTAACTGTTCATAAAAAAGAAAAAAAAAAAAAAAAAAAAAAAAAAAAAAAAAAAAAACAAAAAACAAAAAAAAAAAAAAAAAAAAAAAAAAAAAACACCAAATGGGCAAAACCCAGCAAACAAACAAACAAAAAACCTCCAAACCCAAATCGTAGATATTATTACTCCAATGCATCTCAGCACTGATATCTCAACATCCCAATACAAAATTTTCACTGCCCATCCTTCTATTTTCAAATCATATTTCCTCCAGCTTTGTGGCAAAATTTTCTTGAATTCTGCCATGAAATCCTGGATTACTGTGCCAAAGCCACTGCCACTGAATGGAAATTGCCAGTGGATAAATGTGAGCTGAGCTGATTTGGTCTCTGAAGCACATGATCTACCCAACATAGAGAAGTTTATCCAATAGAGCACTGTAATGATTTGTATTTGATGCTCCAGAATAGCCCATCAGGCATCCTGTAGCAAAGAGAAAGAAGGAAAAAATCTGACATGACAGCAAAAGGTAATTTTTCTCCTGACACAGGCAGGAATATAATATTGTACATCAATCAGGGGCTACTAACTGGCCAGATCTGCACTCAGAATGTTTACACTGATAAAATTGAAGAAATATTCCTGCTTAGCATACTTTTATAACAGACCTGGCATGTGCAGCTTTTGTTTACCTACAAACTTTCTGGTGAGAAATCTGTTGGGAAGAGGCTTTTTTTGCTGTAGTTTGCTTTTACAGTGCTCTGCTGGTATCTGTTTTGCTAGTATACAGAGGAAAACTTCCTTGCAGTCTGGCATGGCCCCATTTCTCAGTTTTCCTCTTCCAGCAGAAATTTTGAACTCAGACAGTTCATGGTTATTCCCGATTTTCTCAGCTTCCCTTGTTATTGCTCAGGGCTGCAGCTTGGCCCTAGTCTCTGAGAAAAACTCATGCCTTGAAACAGGAGTGTGCACTAGGAGTCATCTATATCCAGCAAGGATGATCTCTGGAGGAAAAAAACAGGGTTAAGCTATAAGACTTCATTAAGAACCACCTTCGTGAGACTGTTTCACTGCAGGTGAAATACCTCTGAAATGGGTGGAATTGCACATGTTCAAAACTGGAATAATGCAGCTGGGTACTAATCTCCCAGTAACCCAGCTGAGGGCTGTCCATGCACACACACCTTTGAATATCCACACAGGGAATGACAGATCACAGCGCTGCAACTTGCAGTAATAGGAGAAAACAACAGATCAAAGGTGACCTCTTAATCTGTTTTGATCTGTGCTCCCCCATCTCAGTTCACAAGGCAGTACTTAGTGTGCATGGCTGGAGGGGACCATCCAGCATTTGTGCTTTTATTGTCTAGGAGACTTAGTCTCCAGCCTGAGTGTAGTCCAACACACATTTTACCATCTGCTCTATTTCCTATGTGCCTATGAGATCATTTTCCTACACGTGAAATTATAACACGAAGATTCACATATGCTTACACAGCCTATATCTATTATTATTTGTTAAACACTGAGAAGTTCCTTGGCACAATACAGGGCCCAGCATGGAGACATATCAAGCCCTGAAGCCATGCTTCATGTGAAGTACACCCAAAATGGCTATTCTGGCTGAAAGAGCAGTGTTAGGAATTTCAAACCACTTCCCTTCCTTGGAGTTCTGAGCAGATTCATGACATTTCTGGCAATGCAGCTTAAAAAGCCATTCACAGAAATTTGTGCTGCAGTCATCACAAAAGCTTTCTTTTTTTCCACTCATGTAAAACCCAATTTTTAGCACAAAATATACATTTCAGCAAGTTTAAGACAGTCCATAAAGATTTTGGAATGCAATTTTAGATCAAAATTATAATAATAAAATGTCACTGTTCCTTTTTTAGTTGATAGTTATAATAATGTTAGTTGTTCATGAAGACTTTCACATCTTAGCAAAACTTGTAACACACATTTTCTCATTTCTAATTTATTGTGTTATTCTCCTCAGCCTACATCTCTCATATTCCTTGCAGGAGCATTAAATGAGAGCTGAAACAACATAGCTGAAACAGAGCTCCCCATTCTCTTTCCTCTCTCTTCCTTTTTTGGTTTCCATCCTCCCTTTCTGGTTCCTCATCTCTCCTGAAGACAAGGGCAGAGGGTGGCTGGATGCAGTCCCAGATTCACAGGGTGCCATGTGGCCATCCACATCCTTTCTCACAGTCCTACTCCATGTGCAAAGGAGGATTTGTCTCACCTCCCCTGACGTGTCTAAAATACAGATGTCTGTATCTAGGCTATGTGCCTGAAGCTCTCTCAGTACCAAGAGGAAGAAACAGGAATGGATAAAGTGCAATTCACCTCATCCTAGGTGGAGTAGTGCCCAAAATAGGTCAGATGAATCATGGCTTCAAAGTGCCATGCTCTGCTGACCACAAAGAGAGCCTAGATGACTAAATGTTTAGTGTTAGCTGAGACAGAGCCTGTCCTCAAGCATCTTTCCTTTATGTCATTATTCTGTCTATTCCCGTGTTGCTCCCAGCACATTATCCTCCTGAACTGTCCAACTGGCTTTCCTTCTCATGAGTGGCAATGCCCAAAGAAATGGTAACTTTCCTCCAGCTGCAGCTCTGAAGCAATTTCCCAGCCTGGGCTTTCTTCTCACATATCTCACTGATGTAGCATTTCATGGAGTGCCTTGCAAAAATCATTTGCAAAAGCTCCTAGCTTGTATTTCACATCTCTTTTCAGAATTCACCTCTACCAGGATGCACACGCTAGAGATTGCCTATTGCTAGCAGCTAAGTAGGTGGTCTTTTGCGAATCATTAACATTCTTCCTCTTGTGCATTAACCCCTCCAAAAAAACTTCTAAGAGTGAAACTTGCTATTATCCTATCACCAATATTCTAGGGCTGGCAGAGCCAGGAACTCAAGCCCCTCAAGTCTACAGGGTGGGTTTATACAAGGGTTTACAATAGCTTTCTGACACTTTGTGAATGGCAGCATAAATTACAATGCAAAAATAGATTAACAAGATAAAGTGGTTTCACTTCTTTAAATAGCCCTTACAGGCACCAGAGTTCTTCTACAGATTTAAAGGAGTCTTTTCTTCTTACTCCTCCACCTTCCACATTTTAAGCAGGTAGCAGTGAATGGAGTACACATTGTGAAATGCCATTGCCTCTTCATCAGGTTACAGCACTAGAGAAAAAATAAAAAGAAAATCCAAATGAAAATCACTTCTCTTTCCAGTCTCACTCTACCTCAGAGTTCCCCCTAATAGCTGAAAGGGATTAAGATCTTAAATAACTTGCTGACAAAACCACTGTACAATAGGACCAGTTGGTAACATTGGGAGGAGATGTTCAGCTTTGTTTTTCTTCATGCTCATAGAGGATCTGACTAAAATCAACTATTCTTCTAGCCCATAAATGAATGCAAAGCCTGATCCAGTCACAGGAACTCCCAGCACAGGGTTGAAGCTTCTGAGAGCATGATTTCTGGAAGCAGTTCTTCCCATGTGGACACACTGTGTGCCAGCAAATATCTGCTTTGGCAGGAACAGAGCTTGTTAATCTGAAGTGCCAAATGCCCACACATCTCACAGAAATCCATGAGATCCCAAAATCCAAGAAAATGGGAGATGGAAAAGATCTTTGCCTTTGGGGTAAGCCCATTAACATTAAGCTCCTGAAGAGGCTGAGGGATCACCGAGAAGTTGCTTTCATCTTCTGCAAAATGTCAAAAAATAAATGTCCAGTACTTTGAGCATCATCCTATCACTGCACCTACACATCCCAGCTGGCATTAGGACACGGCTGTAGCAGCTGGCAGGAATCCCAGATCAGAGTGAGCATGCAGGCACAAGCATGGAGCTGAAATATTGCTGAAACTAATGGGAAAGGAGGCAGGACAGCAAAAGCACCGAGATCTGCACTGCTAGCCTTGTATTCTAACATTGTGCAGACTCAAACAGAAGCAAGCCAACTCAATTTTGTGTACAACAGAGGAAGCAAATAATTCTAGGAGAGGGATCAAACTTCTGCCTACCAGTCTTCAAGAGTGAAAAATACCTGTACAAGGCACACAGAATATCCTTAACATCAGCAGTTTTTGCTTAGCACAACCTGGTGTCAAGTAGTAAAGAAAAATCACTGAGTTGTTGCCAGTTGCACTTCTGCTACAATTTGGAAAGCCAAGACCAGCTCCATGGCAGGATCAACAGAACAAGCCAAGGACCAGCAGCCATTGTTCCTATTTGTAGCTCAAATTGGTGGTTTCCTTTCTACATGGGTGGTAGGAACCATCTGGTCCCACTTAGACATTTATAGGAAACACGTACAGGTCAGAGCGAGATGTTTCCAGGATATTTTTCTAATTGAGAAGGAGAAAGAGGTACTTCCATAGAGAAAGCCATCACATCCTAAGGTAAGATCAGATAAATGAACCTTGCTTTCCATGGATGGTAAGGAGAACCTCAGACTCACTCACTGGATTGCCAGTGAGTGGCACAATGAATCCTACACATAGTACCTCAGCCTTCCGCACCTTTGCAACACCACTGCTGAACATTTTAACTGCAATTGTGTTTTGGAAACTACAACCTAGATAGACAAGATTCCCAGCATCAGCATCTTCCACATATTACCAGCCACACATGACTATGCTTAGGTCTGTTTCATGACAAAATCCTTTTCTCTTCTTCAGCTTTGGAGGTCTGACTCTTCTGCATGGCTCTCCTGGTGCACGTACTGTCCTAGATAAAGAGGCCCAACCCTGGTACTGAAGAGAAATGGTGTCCATGTGAGCATTGCCCTCAGCCTGTACCTTCCTACCCTTTCCTCTCCACTCTGTCAGTCTGGTTCAGTCTGGTGACTTCTATAGAGACAGCAATTATAAGGATCACTTTTCAGGTTCCACCTGGCAGGGTTGGTGTGTGCCTTCAACCCTCACCCAGAGGTCAAGACATGGCCTTCAAAATGCATTGCAAATACAAATCACCTGAGACTTCAAGCTGCTCTGGCTTGTGCCTCATTAAGCTGCATGGTGATAACAGACAGCAATAACAACTGTGAAATCCACACCTGAAGCCTGTTGGTTCTTGTGAGAGGTACTTTTGCCACTGGCCTTATGCTGCTTGCAAACAGACACTAGGTCAGAACAAACAGAAGAGCAAGAAAGCATCATTACCAGGCAGCCACTGAGCAGAGAGAGCTTTTTCCCTGTGGTAATTTACTCCATAGTTTTCAGATTTGCTAGTCTGTTTCGGGTCATGTTGTTTCAATGTCTTTTCTCCAAGAATAAATACAGCATGAAAAGTCTCCTAATGGACCCCTGTAGACAGAGTCTAACTCCAGGTCATAGAAGCAGCTGGCAAACATATTCATAAGCTATAATATCCACATGACAAACCTCAATATTCACTCACGCCCCATTAACTCCACCATCAGCACGAGCACTGTGCTTCCAAGAGCATGGGTGAGGGACCCAGGGGAGCCAGGTGGAGATGTCCCAACCATGTGCCTGGGTACACCCAGCACTGGGGATCAGAGCTGGGCAGCAACATTCAATTGATGGTACTTCCCAACTCTGTACAGAGGCTAAATCCAGCATTGGATATTCAGAATCATAGAATCATTTAGGTAGGAAAATGCCATTGAGCTCAAACATTACCCCAACACTACCAAGGCCAACAACAACCATGTCCCTAAGTGCCACATCCTCCATGTTCTTTAAATACATCCAGGAATGGGGACTCCACCACTTCCTTGCACAGCTTTTCCAGTGTTTGATAATCCTCTCAGTGAATCATTTTTCCTAGTATCCAATATAAATCTTGCCTGACACACCTTGAGGCTGTTACCTCTTCCACCACTTGTTACTTGAGAGAAGAGAACGTCTCCTTTTCTACAACCTCAGATAGTCATAGAGAGTGATAAGGTCCCCCATAAGCCTCCTTTTCTCCAGGCTAAACTATCCTAGCTTCCTCAACGCTTCTCATAAGACGTGTGCTCCAACCATTCTCTGGACTTGCTCCAACACCTCATTGTCTGTTTTGCAGTGAGGGGCCCAGAACAGGACCAAGGGTTGAGGTGTGGCTTCACAAGTGCCGAGTACAGGGGATGATCACTGCCCGAGTCCTACTGGCCACACCACTGCTGATGCAGGCCAGGATGTCATTGGTCCTCTTGGCCACCTGGGCACAGCTGGTTCATGTTCAGCTGCTGTTGACCAGCACCCCCAGATCCTTTTCCAAAGGGCAGCCTTCCAGCCACTCTGTCCCCAGCCTGTAGCACTGCATGGGGTTGTTGTGCCCCAAGGACAGGACCTGGCACTCCAGCTTGCTGTACTTCATACAAATGGCCTAGGCCCATTGGTCCAGCTCACCCAGATCCCTCTGCAGAGCCTTCCTGCCCTTCAGCAAATCAACACTCTCACACAACTTGGTGTCCTGTGAAAATTGACTGAGGGTGAACTCAATCCACTCACCCGGGTTCTTGATAAAGAAAGTAAACAGGACTGGCTCCAAAACTGAGCCCTGGGGACACCACTTGTGACCAGCCATCAGCTGGATTTAACTCTATCCACCACTCTCTGGGTCCAGTCATCCAACCAGTTTTTACCCAGCAAACAGTGCACCTGTCCAAGCCATGAGCCATCCTCCATGAGAATGGAGATTGTCCTTAGACTTCCTTGTGTTGCTGATTAATTGACAAAAACATTTTTATTGCTTTTATGTCAGTAGCCAGAACAAGTTCTAGCTTGGTTTTAGCCCTTCTAATTTTCTCCCTGCATAACCTCACAACAGCCTCATACTCCTCCTGAATTGCCTGCCCCTTCTTCCAAAGGTCATAAACTCCCCATTTTTTCCTGAGTTTCAGCCAAAGCTCTCTGTTCATCCAAGCCTCTTCTTCCCCACTGACTCATTTTTCAGCATATGGGGACAACCTGCTTCTCCACTTTTACGATTTTCTTCTTGAAGAATGTCCAGCCTTCCTGGACCCTTTTTCCCTTCAGGACTGCCTCCCAAAGTACTCTCTCAACCAGTGTCCTAAACAGGCCAAAGCCAGCCCTCCAGAAGTCCAGTGTTGCAGTTCTGCTGACCACCTTCCTTACTTTCCCAAGAACAAAAACTTTGGTTATTTCATGGTCACTGTTTCCCAGGCTGCCTCACAGTGACCATCACATCACCCACCAGCCCTTCCCAGTTCACAAAGGGCAGGTCCAGAGGGACAGCTCTCCTTGCTGGCTCCCTCACCAGTTCTGTCACCAAGTTATCTTCCACATACTCCAGGAACCTCCTGGACTGTTTTCTGTATGCTGTGCTGTATTTCCAGCAGATGTCTGATAAGTTGAAGTACTCCACAAGAATGAAGGCCAGAGATTGTGAGACTTACCCCCACTGCTTACAGAATATTTCACCTGCCTCTTTACCCTTGTCGGGTGGTCTGTAAGAGACTCTCACCAGGATACCTGCCTTGTTGGCATTCTCCCCTGACTTTTATCCATGGGCACTCAACTCTCTCATCACCATCCTTAGACAGAGAAAGAAGACAAGCAGAGCCTGGGACTGATGCTGGTACAGTAAGCTGCAGTAATAGGTCAAGCTGTCAGCTGTTATTAACCTTAGTAAAATCCATGTCTTCTAGTTCAGCCTCAATTAATTCATATAGTGTTTGAGAGCCTTCATGTTACACTGTGAAATTACTGGCTCTATCTTCAGCCTGGATAACCTGCCTGTCTCTCCTCCTGCACCATTTAAATGTCAGTTATATTTTTCTGGTTGAGTGGTTAGCAAAAGGATGAATGAACAAGTGTTTGTACTAACTGATCTATACAAAGATACATCATTAAGCAGAAAAGGACATGCTTTGATATGATTTTGATATGGTCTTGGCTTACTTTTGGAAATTTATTTTCTGCTAGTAAAGTATTGAGAAACATGAGGTGTTACATTTTATCCTGTCTTCCTCATAAATTAAGCATTTCTAGAAGTCAAAGTTATGGTACATTCAAAACAAAAACAATGGTCTGAATTCCTTTATTTATAGTGATCAGCATGGTGCAAGCAAGTTGTTCCATCTCATTACCAAACAGCTTCATATTCCTGATATAAAATCTATCCTCTTACTTCTTCAAGGGAAAGAAGACTCCAGAACACAGATGTGTTTGAGCACAGAATTAACTATCATAGTGCCAAG